TTCATATCTTTGGTATATGGCTGATTTAAACAAATGTACACAATCACTTCGCATACAATATTTGCTTTATGATATATATTTTCAAATTTATTATAACGCCATCTTTGAAATGTAAACGTGCATATTTCATTGCAATGTTGTAATGCAAACAGCGAAACAACAATAGTATCTAAAAAGTTTGCGTGATCCTGATGTCGTTTACATTTTTGATTTATTTTCATAAACGGCAACGTTGAAAAGTCCTTATGACAGTTTATTGGTATATTTACTAGCCATGCGATGCTTCTACTTAATATTTTAACGATTTTGTTGTATCACTTGACGATGAATAACTATTACTTTAACGAGTTGAAAGGCGGTGAAGAAGAAACAATAAAAAACGCCAGGTGAAGTAAAGAGGTGAGCCTTTAAGCAGGATAATGGTGCTACTACAAGGACATATAACGATAAATAAGGCTAAAATAAAAGCAAATAGAAATTCCTATATCGCAGTTCTGATTACGATTGCTATAAGAAAAATTGAAATGAATTGCCTTTGCGGCCACTTTCCTGGGGCGCACAAAAATACTGCACATGGCAAAAGGCGCAACTAAGTATTCTTTCGGCATTTTTTTCGACTATATCAACTTTGCATACACTACTATTTTAGAGTATTTACAATATAGACAGATAATTGCTTTTCTCTAGCAAAAAGAAAAGGCATGGCATTTGTTGGGCCACATTATGCAATAGTTTGGACTGAATGAATTGGAATACCGCAGCGACGCCGCTCTTTGTAACTGCAATTTGCATACCGCCTGCTGGACATCTTCAAACGGCCATATATGTATGCAGAAAAGGGAATGATTTGTGTAATTGTGCTGCCGTTAAAGGTGTTCGTATACACATATGTGATATGTGTGCATACATATGTATGTATTAAGGAACTAAATATTATACTTTCACTTTCGTTGCTTAGGCAACATGTGTGTTTCCATTTAACTCTAATTTAAGAATTGCAATTGTGCTCGGATATCTACTATATGCATACATATATATATATACATATAATACATACATAGGTATTTCAGACGCGTCTGTATCTGCTTGCATACGTAAGCAAACACTCGTACATATGTATGTATTTTTTAAGCATATTGTAGGTTTGTTGTATCTACCGCATGTACATATGGATGTATGTATATTTTTTAGTTGCATGCCTAAATTAGGAAACTTTTCAAACTGTGATCAGCATGACTTCTTTTGTCTTCTGAAACTGCAATACATCAAAGGTGAAGTGTTTTAGCCAACCCACTTTGGTCAGTTAAACCGAAATATTTTCCATACGGCACTATACATAACCACAGCCAAGTTTTCGGAAAAATTTAGTACCTATGTATTTTTTTTATATATATTCATATGTATATGTATGTATATGTATGTATATGTATGTATATTTTTCATTTAAATAAGTTCGCTTCACGTTGTTGTTGGCTAAACATAAGCACACTGTTTTTAATTTTGCTTTGTGTGACATTCGCCTCCTTGATCTTAATTATTTAGAAAACGCATTCTTTTGATAAGCAACACGCAAGTCTGTTTTGCAGTGTAGATTGTCCTTTCGGCATTATTGGAATTTAAATGGTCGCTTTTAATAAAGGTTAGGTAGTTTTCAATTTTATAAAATAAAGTAGGAAACATCATCTTTTCAGCTGTTTTAAATATTTTTTTATGGAAATAAGACCAATGTGTTTTGTTTACTGAAAATGTCTTTATTTATGAATTTTAAATATTTTATAAATATTAATTCCTTTAAAAAGGTATTCTATATTCTAACATAAGCATAAATCTCATAAAATTAGATAAAAAATCAACTGCGATTTGTTCTTCTTTTTATTATTTTTGGATTTTTTTTTTTAAATTTTTTGCAATATAAAAAATTGGATTTTGCTAAAGTGTAGACCGATTTCAAGTATATTTAATTAAAAAATTCTATGTCTAATTTGTAGAACTAGAAATTATAAGTATACAATAGACAGTTGACCATAGCATTGCGAACTAACATTTGGAAATACGAGCCTTGGTGCGTCAAAAAACATCCAACATCCAAGAATATAGAAAATTAATGTAAACAAAAAAATTAATGAATAAGTTTTTAGAATCCCGGTCGACCTTCGACAAGCCCTTAGAGAGTATTTCTGACATGAAATGAAAGCTACTCATAAAAATCCATCGATTGCTCAGAGGCGGCTTAGAATAAACTATAGGCGCCAATATTTAATGGAAAAACATCAAGACGCATAACACTAATAGGAGGATAAGCTGAACCAAAAAACGCTAATCGGTTATAAAGTGCAAACCATATCGTGATATGAAAGACAAATATTATAATAGAAATTTTAAAAACAGTTTTTGTGAGTGAATTATGTGGTATTGTTGAAACAATGTTCTTGATAATGTTTAAATGATAATTTCTCCAACTTTTCAGTAATAATTTCGACGATATAAGAAATTTGTTTAATGCATATTTTCTTAAATTTTTCGACTTTCTCTGCATATTTCCTAAAAAATTAATTTAATGCTTTCTGTCCTGGCTCAAATTTCATCATTCATGATTAATTTTATATTCTAATCTTCTATATAATATTCATAATGAAATCGTTAATTCTTGGTTTTAAATTATATTCTATTATTTCGTCAATATAATTTAAACCGTTTTCGTATTTTAATTTGTTGCCCAGATATTACACTGCTCTTTTGAGCTATTATTTATAATTAATGCCAAATTATGTATCCAGTCATGAACATAAGTCACATACATTTAACCACTAAAACAACTTTCTACCGAGCTCCTTCTTCATTTTGTGGTCTTCCGTCTTGATGTTTTTCCAACAAATGGAGGGACCTACAGTTTATACTGAGCTTCCTTCGAACGGCTAATGGCTTTCTATGAGAGGCCTATATTGCATATGATAAATACAATCGCAGGTTTTGACATTCGATGCCGAGGGGTGACCGCAATTAGAAATTTTAACTTAATTTTTTATTTAAATTAATTTTCTTTAACTTTTGGATGTTGGTCGAACCGCGACTCGACCCCCTGGCATTCCGAATGGTAGTATACAATGCTATTGTAACTACTCGGCTACCGCATGCCTAAAAATATTAGCTAATGTGTAAATGAAAATGGTTTATATATACAGGGTTATCCATTTTGCCGTTTCGAAGATAATTGTAAATAAATTGCATTTGAAATAATTTTTTTCAAGAATTATCCATTTTAGTATAAACATTGTATGACCGCCTCATAGATATATTTGTTGAAATCTCAGCCATAACTTGATGAATGTTGGTTTTCAAGCGCTCAAAAATTTTTTTTAACTAATCACGCAAGTTATGTTGTGTTTTTTTCGTTGCCTGCACACAATCTTATGTGACTATATCCTTGATTGAGAATTATTATTCGAGCTGTCTGATATTTCTTTTCTTTAATTTTCACTTTGTACTTTACAAATTTAGAGGTCAAATGAGAGTGAATTCGTTCACACCTAAACGTTGGATTCGTTGGCTTCTGTCATCGCAAAATTTCTGAGAAGTCGCTCATTGTATTCGAAAAAAAGGAGGTCCCCATTTAGAGTTCCACAGGTGAGAAATGGAGAAATTTTTTCCCCCTGATAAGCGCCCCATACATATAAACACTCAAATGTAAGCATATAATTTTTTTATTGGCAGCTCCGTTGCAGTGCCCAAAACTCTTAAAGCTTCTGCCTTTGCATATTTCTTCATATTTTGAGTAATAGTGTGATCCATTATCATGCTTTATCCGCATTGAAGCTTCATCAAACATAATATTTCATTTGGCGTATGCCATTGGCCTTGACACTTCTCTAAAAGTAAGTGATGGTTTTTAGATCTGCTGCCAAACAGTTCCGTCAAAAATTATGTTCACTATCATTTTCAGAATCCAATAAAAACATTGGCGCCTCTGTCCTCTACGAAGTTTCAAAAAATACTCATTTTCATCGGCAACCATATTATCACCAAGTTTCCTCACTGCCTCGAAAATCATTTTGCCTTTCGCCTTGATCATCTTCAGTAATTGAATCTTCTTCACCTTAATTCACTTCACTTATTTGCCGAATTCTTTCCAACTTTCTGCAATTGAATGTTACAGAAATTGCCAAAATGCAACTAAAACTGACTTGTATTGCAGCTGCTTGGAAGAGTCACTTGAGAAGAGTATCAGAACTTAGAACTAAGGTTCTACATTTAATTGCGAAATTTCTAAAAAATAGATTAACTTCGTACTGGGTCAAAACCCTCCATGCTACGTATGGTAGGCAAAGAATTATTGTCGGTAAGAAACTGAGCTACGAGAAAAACGGAAAGTGGGAAATTGAATAATCGAATGACAGAGAGTCAAATGATCGACAGAAATATCTATAGATGTACGAGTTTAAGGTAAATTTTCAAAAGAGGTCATTTGACGCCGCTTGTTACGTTCAGGGTTAAGCTATTCATTTTCATAAATGCCTGCCTTTAAACTAAAACAAAATATGTTTGTTTTCACAGTTAAGTGTGTGAGACGTCAAAATACAGCCCTGTAGTTTCAAAACCAAAAATTGGAGGACCCTATATTATTGGAACGAGTAAGTTGTAGGCAGTGAAAATCATTACTATAAAGTAAGGAATTTTAAGAAAAGGGATTTGTGGATATATGTATATATGTATCTATTCCATTCCAGCATTTCCTATAATGAGTGACTTATAATATTACAAAATATTTTAGAGAGGATAAAAGTTATTTCATACAAAAATTTTCTTTACGTAGAGCCGAAAATAGTGTCTCTGCTTTTTAATTGTTTCATAATGCTCAAGCTTTGCCAGTTATGTTAAAATAAAAATGTTTTAATTAATGAAAGAAAACAAAAGTTGTAAATATTTTTGGAAAATATATCGTTCTTCAATGGAGGCCGCAAACAGGACTACATACATATTCAAATTTTCAAAATAAAACTTACCTCTTAATAAAAAATCACTGCTCTCGGGGAGGTTTAGAGATTGCCATTCACGATGCTTATTCGTGGTATATTATCACTTGTTTTTCTTGTTGTCATTCATTCATTCTCTTTCTCATTTGTTTCACAGTATATTTTTGCAAGTAATCCAGTATTTATGACGTATTCGCACTCACTACAACATAGATTATTGTTAAAAATAATTAACCAATAACAATAACACCCCAATAAAACTCGTTCAGTCATAAATCAACGTCGCTGTCGCACTTTTCACTGAATGAGGCTGCCGTCGCCGCCACCACCGCTACCAGAGGCACTACCTTGGCAGGTTGTAATTTTCTAACAGTGGCACAGCAATGCGTGTTGCGTTATTCAGCTATTTGATGCTGGTGGAACAACAGCAGATGCTATGTATAGTCTGCAACTGAGATGCCGGCTGATGATAAACGCCTAGCTAGACTATATAATAGTACAAACTCACTAAGTTCCGCTGTAGCAGATGACAAATTCAGAGGAGATGGCGGCGCGCAGCTAGTTCCCGCCGGTAAATAGTGAACTCGAATAAACTGTGTTGGCCTGCATTGAACTTGAATTTGTTTATTATGATCGGTCAATGCGGTTGTAATGTATTTGTAGCTTGTTGCTGGACTGTAGTAGAGCACATTCGTGCACACAATTTCTCATAAATTTTCCAAATAATGACTACGCTGACACGTTTAACACTTTGTACGGTTTTTCAATTATGTCCGCTTTTGTTATATTAACGAGTATTTTGGTCATTTAAACTGGAGCAATATTTTATAAATTTACTAGCAATCTTAGCTGATTTAAATTGTTTTTAGTCTTTTGATGAAGTTGAAAATTATAAACGGTGCAATCACATGAGAAAATAATCACATTATAAACTGCTTTTCGGCTTTGAGCTAAGTCCTTGAATATTTAACGTCAATACTCAATTTTTTTCACTAAAAATTTTCACATAATTTCCTATATTACTTCTAAAAAATAATATTGCAATGTAAATTCTGCAATATTTTTTTTTTTAATTATTTGCTTTAAAATATGTTGTTTACAATCACTTGCTCTTTATAACCGTATACAATATATTGTTATTATTTGATTTTTTTTTTGAAAATAAAATCACCATTAATTTACAGGAGTCTCAAACGCTGTTGCTCAGCTATGTAATTTATGAGCTCTCATTAGCAGCGATGCGAATTTAAGTCACCATCAAATATACGCTAAAATATTACGCTAATAATCCATCATTTATTATCTCTGCACATAATATGTCGGTGCACCTTACACACCGACAGACGTCCGATTCGCACGCGCTTTCCACTTTACTAACTTAAATTAATGGGTGATGGCGCTGATCTGATGAGATCAGTTTGGATCGTATCGGTTAGTTGGTTCGATTAAACTTAGAATTGGTTAACCCGGGAATACGTGCTCAAAGCGCCAATGTTTCTGTTTGACTACTTGAACATAATTCAAATCACAAATATCTGGGCATCAGTAAAAAAAACACCATCGCTGCCGTGAAACCAGCAGCGCCGCGTACAATCAAAAGCACACACAACTACTTTTTTATCATTTATATGCATACATGGGTATCAGCATTTTGCGTGTGTATGTATAATATACACAAATACATACTCATATAAGGTATACAATGAATATATGTATATCCTCACCCGCGAAGTGCCTGCAATATCCAATTGTAGCTGTGAGTACACGACTGCGGCATTGAGTGTTCGAAAGCATGAGAAAAGAGCGTTCGTTATAAATGAAATGGGAATGGGGCTCGGGAGTTGGGTTGAATAAAATAAAAATGCATTACATTACAATTTACAAAACCACCGGAGAGCGGAAAAAATTAGCAGCAAAAAATGATATCGAAAAAATTAAGTAAAAAAAAAACACAAATCAGATGTATTCGAAGAAACACCGCCGAACGGTGAACCTCCTATGCCAGCCACATACAAGAAGAAGATAACAATATTGAGTGCTGCTGCCCATGCCAACCGGCAATTTATGCTGCTTAAGTTGCCGCTGCTGCTGCCATTGCGCGCACTCGCATTGGCGCAGCGAGCCGTCAAGGCAATGGTTTTTGGCCTACCCGCTGTCGTGAGCGTATGTGTGTTTGCTCATTGCCTTATAATCGTGTATTCATGTATGTCAGATATGTGGCAAACCAGCTTTTGCCACAATTGAAATGATATGAGTTCTTTTGTTGCCTTTGTTGGTAAACCTGAAATTATTATTTTTTGTTTTTATTTTTTCGAACATATAGAGTGCTGAGAGACATGAGAGCCACAACACTTATTGACTCTTCGAATTTTTGATCTCTTTGTGCATTTAAGGCTCGGAATATATACATATACGTATCCATACAAACTACTCTAAGCAGTTGAGCATATAGATCTACATATTTGTGAATTCTTGCTCGATTCTTTTCTCGAATTTTAAAAATTTCGAAGGTCACACACAATCCGTACGTGAAACGTATACGTATACGGCAGTTATGCGTACTTGTATAGGTGTGTCTTTTTTGAAGAGTTGCTTGTGCAAAAGATCACATTTATCGCTTCGATGTCTACAATACTTATTTTATATAAAATGTAAACCAAAGAGTTATTGGTCCACCTAAAATATTTTTTTGTTTGAATTAAATGACATATTTTTCAATGAAAAATTATTTATATCTAACCGGCCCTGAAATATTTTTATTGCAACTGTGAAATCGTGGTTATGTGCAAGGATACTCAAGATGCCATAAATAATTAATATATTCCAACTAAACGATAAATAAGCGTTTTTTATGTAATACATAATTTTTATCAATGAAAACTAGATACATACATATGTTTTAGTCTAAAAAAGCATGCTTACTATAGAAGAACAGATGCGTTGTTTCAAAAATATATTGAGAATGCTATTTACAGAAATTTTGCTGGAAAATTTGATCTAACTCATCTAATTATTTACAAGAAATATTTATTTCCCTTAGGTCATTCACAGTTCTAAGCATGTATGCGCAGTACCTTCCAAGAATATCAGTTTTATTTCGGACATGCCAATAATAACCAAAAACATACTGTTTTTATCTTTTTAATACTTTATATTTTTCTCCGCTTCGCATTGACACGTTTCAGTGGTGTTTCAAATTAAATTTTGTAAAGTTCCAATAAGTAATTTTCGCGTTAACTGTTTAAAGCATAGAAATTTAAATTATATCAAAAATTAATAAAAAATAATAATTAATAAGTGCGGCTCGACAGGGAATGCCAAGCCCTCCGTATGCATTTTAGACATGAGAGAAAGGATCCTCATAAAAACTATCAGCCGATCGGAGGCGGCTTAGAATAAAGGCCCCTCCATTTGTTGGAAGAACATTAAGACGCAAAACAACAAATGGAAGGAGGAGCTTGGCTGAAAATCGCTGCAGCCACTGCAAAATGCCAAATATCCGATTTGTTTTATATGCGTTAAGGATTGCTGTATGAATTCGTTGACGCTTTATAAGCGCTTTAGCGATTTATAATCGAATTTTTTTTTTTATAATTTGCGTTTCTCGTCTTGATGTCCTTCCTACATATGGAAGAACTGAAGCTAAATAGTTTATTTCTACGAAAACGATATATAAATTTTGACATCTTTTTCCTAAAGCAGTTAAAAATGATTTAAAAAAAGTTCATCAATTTCCTTTGAGTCGATATTTTGTATAGACAACACATTGGTTGTTCCTGGGCTACCGCATGCCGGCCATCTACAAGCAGCAGACCATGAGTGTTTATAAAACAAATCGAATAATTGTAAAGTACGCTAATCACTAATTTCATACTCGTTATAGCAAGCTTCATATTTCACATTCACTGTTAGTTTTTAAGTCACTCCATTTAAGACACAAAATTCAAAGGAATCGCGATTTAAGTATTTCTATTCTTCAATCACACCTCTTAAGAGATTCTTTTACACAATTCAATCACGATTTTTATGGTTTTCGTATTTGTTCTAATCCCAAAAATTATTCGCGACAACGAAAAATGCATCTACCTTTCGAAAACGCGTATTTGGCACGAACCGTAAAAAGCGGCGAGCACCAACAAAAACAAACTTTCTAACAATCAGTACAATTGGAACTGGCGCTAGATACCCGTTCGAAATCCGCGATTGAATTGAGCAGCTAATTCGAATAGTCGCCAAAGCGCCAAGCTATGTGTGCACTTGTACACTGTAGTATATCAAAGAGAGCGTCAGTTAATTTGCCCAACAAAGAATGCCATGGAGTTTCGAAAATCGTAAATCATTGCGCCGGTGCGTGATGAGCCTGTTGGTGTGAGTGAAATGCCATGCCGTATCGGAAGTTCGAAAATATTGCCTATTCATGCACACTCATGATTGACTCCGCCTGCAATACTTGTTTTGAATTGAGGGGTGGAAGGCCAATAGCAAGGGAGCGCTGCAATTGGTGGGAGCGAGTAGATTTTCCATTTTTTTTAGTAATGGTTGTGCACTGCATTGTCATAGCATGGGATGGTTGGGGTTGGAAAACAGGTAGTTATAGCGAAAAGATGGACTAGGCATGGGCAAGGCGGGCGGCAGCAAATTTTCCTGTTTCCTGGCAAAAAGGCTGGTAGCCTAGCAATACTGTTTGAAAATTAGCCTATGCTGCTGTGGAAGTTGAACGTTTGTGTGGACGGACGGAACGGAGGAGTCGTTCATTAGGCGGTTGTTGTGCTCAACATTAAAGCGCCAGCAACAGAGGTAGCATCAAACTAGATTAGTACCTACTACTTGGTATAGAAACAATGGTGATAATGACGTTGCTGAATGAGAGCTCTTAAAGATCATGATGAGTTTGATTGGGGTGTTGGCGTCGACTGCGTAGAATTGTAATGTGTTTCGGTATTTGTATTCAATAGTTGGCGTTATTGAGTTAAATCACCATCATATTATTACTTTCCATTATAATTTTATAAAGGCAATCATTTTCATTTTTATTGGCCTGAACTTGCTGATGAAAGTTTTATGCACACAAATTTCAAACTTTTTAAGATTTTCACATAAGTATATATATATGTATAAACTCATTTTTAAAATGCAAAAGATTTTGTAATGCCAACTGTTTTCAATAGAAAAAAGTCATAAATGTTATTGTCTATGTATCTTTGTTTCCAATAGTCAAATATGTACCTTTGTGTACGTAAATGATTATTTTTACTTTACTAGAATTAAATTGATCATACTCAAATAAAAGATTATACTCATTTGATTTTGAAAAAATGCTGATTTATAATTCGCGAAACTGTACATAATAGAGAACTGTAAGAACTATAGAGGGCGAAGGAAAGTGAAATTTTAAAATATATATAAACAGAGTTCCTCAGATAACAAAACAAATAATTTGGGTTTCTATAATCGTCTTACTTTTTCTTCTTATTCTTTTGCCAGCCAAAATCTTAGTAGTGTGTAAAAAAGAGTAGAAAATATTAAAATGATGGTAAATATGTTTGTTATGATTTTAAAATAATGCTGAGGCCGTTTTCCTGAAAAGATATTCTTATTGATAGTTATTAAGTGATGTCGAGAAATAGCAATTGCATAATCGATAAGTGCATCTGATAAAGATTATAATTTTTAGGTCATTTTTTAATGCCATTAAGTACCAACCAAGTAATAAAAATCAGCGAAAAAATCCAGTAAAGCAAGAATGCCTTCAATCGGAGGACAAACACTGAAGCTTTTCGCCGACATTTGTGCGACTACGACTTGAGTATCTTGAACTTAAGAAAAGTACCGTTATTGATTGAAGCGAATGCAGAACTCACTCTCGACTCTCCAAAGAATATCGGTCTTCCACTAAATGTCGCAATATTTTATGTTAGCATCAAATTAAAGATTGACATATATATGGTATAAGGTATGACATCAATATGTAAGATGATCACCAAATATCGAATGACAAAAAAACAACGGGAAGCTGATATTGGTGTTGGCGAAGTTTCAATGTCAGCACAAAGGACCCTTTAATTGGATCTAAGGAAACGTGACAGGTTGCCTTACACGTTGAAATTCATACGCTAGGTTGGAAATCTCGTTTAGTTGAACATTCCATCAAGATAACGGTCCCAAGCACACAAACAAAGGGATTAAAAAGTAGTTTGTGGAATGCAAGGTCAGCGTTATGGAGAGTCACAGCACTCTGACATCAAGTTCACGAAAATTTGTGGACCGCTATTCACATTTCGTTTTTGTTCGTCGAAATATAATTTCGCTTCCTCATACCTAATACTTTTTAAAAGATCTTTACACGATGGTACCTTCTCTGTACACGATAGAGGATCACTTTGGCTTATATCTTTTTAGCACAAAACAGCTCGGAGGGTCTTTTGGCAGTGCCTCTTTGTGTTGTCTACGGCTGCTTTAAGGTGGTATGTGTTGACCTCTTTGTAATGGGTTTTCTATAAGATCAGATGTATGGTTAACATCTGGAAGAAAGAATTTTGTACTTAAGTTCCAGCGTCAGACATTCCCCATTCGACCGTAATATGCACAGGATCTAGTCTACCATTCTGATTACTTTATTACTGTGGTTAGGATATTATTTATTAGTGAAACTAAATCATCTGACTTATAGTAGTGAATCCATATTCATAAAAATTATAATTACATAAATTTAAATACAATATATTAAAATATATTTCATTTATACGCAGTTTAAACAAAGAAATTTCCTTTATACAGTGGTCGCAGCAGGACGCCAGTGTTAATGCACAAATTCAATTTATACAACGCTGAAACATATATAGTTAATACAAACTGCAAACAAACAGTAAGATATAAACGGAAATTTTTGATAAAAATAAAAAAGTCGAGTGGTCTTTATTCTATCCCCATCAACGGTGGAATGATGAAACATATGGCGCATGCGCAACATGCGACTGATCGCGTTGAAAAGACTTCTTTGTTGCACAGTGATGCTGGAGTGTAAAAAAGTTACGACATTTTCAATTAAACAAATAAATTAAGTACAAGGGGTTCGAACAAGTTAACGATCAAAACAACACGAGGAGTCTTGCAACGACAAAAACTTAAAAACAAAAATAATCAGCGAACAAACATAAGGAAGCTCCCTGTCGGATGTCAGTAAGTTGTGGTAGCAAGCGCTTACAGAATGCCCATGCCTTGTGTACGTGGCATCGAAAACAGCATCATAAGTAACAACAACAGCAACGCTTTAGAAATGTTGAAGCAGAAACAAAAACAGCAAATACATCGCATTCGCAAAAAATCCATCTGCAATTATTGTGCTAATGTAACTGGAAAATTTAGCTGAATGGTAAACAGATAATAATTATTACATTATTCTCTCTTTTACATCGTTCTCGAAAGCGAGATATTTTTTGCAGTCAACCAAGGCTCTCGCCGGTTTTCAACGCTGGATGATACTAGAGGGTCAACGCAATATTGCGCAACTTTTGTTCAAAGTATCCAGATTGTTACAATGTTTCCATGTTCTTCTACGTAAGCTTAAGATGTTTGGAAAAAATATATATTATTATAACTTCAAATTATCGGATTCTTTTCAATCAAAATAATTTTTATGAAATTAATTTATAAAATAAGAAACAAACAAATTAAAATCAAAGAGTTCAGTTCAGTGCAGCCCGATGTGCGCGTCCGCTGTCCTTCGTTCGTTGAATTATGGCAATATCATCATATAGTTCGTACAGCTCATCGTTCCATCCTCTGCGGTATTCGCCTTGGCCAATGCGCAATGGACCATAAACCCTTCGCAAAACTTTTCTCTCGAAGATTACCAAAACCGACTCATCAGCTGTTGACCACGCATCTGCGCTATATAGTAGAACGGGTATGATAAGGACTTGTAGGGTTTGGTTTTCGTTCGCCGAGAGAGAACTTTACTTTCCATTTGCCTACTCAGTCCAAAGTAGCATCTATTGGTAAGAGTGATTCTGCGTTGGATTTCAAGGCTGACATTGTTGTTGGTGTTGATGCTGGTTCCTAAATAAACGTAATTATGTACGAGTTCAATCTTATGACTGTCAACAGTGACGTGGGAGCCAAGTCGCGAATGCGAGGTTTGTTTGTTTGAGGAGAGGAGATATTTCGTCTTGCACTGATTCACTACTAGACCCATTCGCTTCGCTTCTTTATCAAGCCTTAAGAAAGCAGAACTAACGGCGCTGTTGCTGAGGCCAATAATGTAAATATCATCGACGTACGCCAGTAGTTGTACGCTCTTGTAGAAGATTTTACCTTCTCTACTCAGCTCTGCAGTTCTTATTATTCTCTCCAGTATCAAATTGAAGAAATCACACGACAAAGAGTCACCCTGTCTGGAACCGCGTTTGGGACCGAACGGCACGGGAGGTCATTCCCAATTCTGACTGCGTTTCTGGTGTTGTCTGGCATCAGTTTACACAAATCCGTCTAATGCCATGATTTAAAGGACTTTTTGTCATAATATTCATTCTGTATTATTCTACTGAAACATTATAGTTTTTTTTACGTATTTAAATTAATATAAATTTTTGTTTAAAAAACGTCTACACTGAGAAGTTATTCCAACTACACATCTGGCCGGAAAAACTATAAAGTCGGCAGTTGAATTAAATAATTGGCTTTACCACGTCCTTTTCTGAAAAATTTGTTGAGTAAGTCCGTTAACACGATTATCGATTGTCTCTGCAATGAAATCAATCTTTGCCTCCGGATTTTCATCAAAATTTGAAACCGATACATCATTAGAAAATTACTTTTTAAAATGAAAGAAATCTTTCATGGATTAAAACTATTTGGAACATTTCAAGCGTCGCTTAGCAATTCTTTTTGGCCTTCTGATGTTTGAGGAAAAACCAAAATTAATTCTTACAATATTAAGATGAATGTTTCTTTTTTTTTTTGCAAAAAATTTACGCTTGATACATTCACTAGTCTTTATGAGATTCATAAAAAGCGCATATACCTATTCTTATTCAACATCAAATTTCGCATGAAGGTTTGCCAGTTTTATTGTTTCCAAAATTTTAAATAAAAGATCATGGCTTGAATTTCCTAGGCATGGAGTATTAACATTGATTCTAGTAATACATACATAGAATATCAGGAATAGACCTAATAAAATGTTTACTAATAAGATATGAATGGCCACCGGAGTTGATCTGGCCGTTTAGCTATCTGTTTATCTGTACGCAAACTAGTTCGCAGATTTGGGGATATTTGAACTAAACAATTAATCATTTTACTAATATCATAGGTTTATTATTCTGCTCATACACCATAGATAAAATACTCATGCCGCAAGTCATCAGAATCGAACGATTATAACCAATAGTTTTCCTACAACTGATTGTTCGGTGCTTTGATGCTTTACGCCTACGGACACAACAATATGTGCATAACGGAATTTTTTATGTACCCGCTGTATTATGGTAAGTAGCAACCCCGAGCAAATCGAATTTGGTCCATGGTCCCTGTTTAATTTCCGAGAGAAAAAATAAAGGTATCACCTTAAAATTTAACGAAATCCAACCATAACATATATACTTTCTAAATTATATCGATCTACTTACCGGATATTTCTAACCATTTAAACTCTAAACATCCACAAATCGTTCCAGCAACATTTTAGTTATCCGGGTAATGCAAGTAGACTTTTTTAATAGCCTTTTTTTACATATCACGCGTGTGTCGTGTAAAGCTGTCATGTTATTTTTGTTCAGTATTGTTTGGCATTTCATTATGGAAAGACTTACGACTGAACAACGTTTACAAAAAGATCAATTTTATTCAAATAAAATAAAATTCACGTTCGGCCTACTAAAAAACCCAGTATTCATAATTGGATAATATTCGACCGAATAGACTACGCGAAAGCACGCAGTGCAGAAAAAGTAGCTGAGAGTGTATAGGAAGATCCGAAGTTTTCGAGCTAAATTATGTTCAGCGATGAGGCCCATTTCTAGTTCAATAGGTATATAAACAAGCAAAACTCTCGCATTTGGGACAAAGAAGCGATTCAAGAGATGCCATTTGAGCCAATAAAATTAACGGTTTGGCGAAGTTTGTGCCGGTGGAATCTTCGGCTCATATTTCTTCCAAAAAGTGGCCGGTGAGAACGTAACCATCAATGGCGACCATTACCGCGCCATGATAAACGACTATTTGTTGTCTGAAATTGAAGCTCCTGATTTTGGCGTCATTTGGTTTTGACAAGACGGCGCTACTTCCGACACATGGTATCAATCAATGGATTTCTTGAGAGAACACTTCGGTGCGCAAATAATTTCCCTATTTGGTCGATTAGCTACCAAGATCGTTTGATATCACACTGTTAGACTTTGCCTGTGGGGATATGTAAAGTCTAAAGCCAAAAGCGAACCATCCTCCCTCGATTCAGGACTTGGAGCGAAAAATCACGCTGTTATTCGCTAATTACTAGTCGAAATGTTCGCATGAGTCATCGAATAAACGGACGGACCATTTGAGACGTAAAACATAATTGGTAAAAATTGTTCTTTCGAATGATAATAAACATTCCCCATTAATCTAGAATTTTCTGTGTTTTTTTTTTACAAAAGTAGGGAGCCACTAAATGGTTCACCCTTCATTTAAGCGTGCAAATAGTCGGCAAACGTGAATATCTGGATATAACTTTCACCTGATAATTAAATATTAATATTTACATGGGAAATAGATTTCCAAATTTGTCCAACAATTTTGTCGCACCTCACAATCGTAAAGTTAGCACAAACCAACTGACTATAAAGGTGCTTCCAAGGAGCCAAACGATTAATTCGGATGTTTACTGTCAACAATTGGACAAATTGAATACAGCCATCAAGGAGAAGCGACCAGAATTGGTCAATCGTAAAGGTGTCATATTCCACCAGGACAACGCTAGACCGCACACATCTTTGGTCACTCGCCAAAAACTGAGTGAGCTTGGCTGGGAATTTTTGATGCATCCACCATATAGCCCTGACCTTGCACCATCAGACTACCATTTATTTCGATCTTTGCAGAGCTCCTTTCGGCAATGATGAGGCTATAAAATCGCACTTGGCTCAGTTTTTTGCAGATATAGGCCAGAAGTTCTATGAGCGTGGAATACTAAATTTGTCAGGAAGATGGCAAAATGTTATCGAACGAAATGGCAATTATATATTTGATTAAAGTTCATTCTAAGTTTTATTAAAAATGCATTTACTTTCTTTTAAAAAATCCGCAATTACTTTTTGGGCAACCCAATACTTATAAAGAATAATTTTTTAAAAACTATAGGAAGGAGAGAAATGAAAATTCATGAAATCTTTATTTGACGCGATAGTACGGTCCATATAATTTAATGTTTGAAGTTTACCATGACTGCGCCTCAAATGGTCCATCCACTTAGTCCGATTTTGGCATACTCTTTCCAACATTTCAACTGGTATCTCACGAATAAATGCTTCAATATTGTCCTCCAATGCGAAAATTGAAGCGGGCTTGTCTGTATAGACATTACATTTAACATAGCCCCACAAAAAATAGTCTAAAGTCGTTAATTCGCACCATCTAGGCGGCCAATTGACCAGTCTCGAACGTGAAATAAAATGTTCACCGGACTCGGCTCTCAGTAAATCCATTGCTACGAGTGCTATGTGGCATGTGGCACCGTCTTGCTGAAACCACATGTCATCCAAGTTAAGCTCTTGCATTTTGAGCAAAAAAAAGTTTGATATCATCTCACGGTAGCGCTCACCATTCACAGTTACATTACGATTCGCATCATCTTTGAAGAAGTACGGTGTACAGTGATGTGACGATCAAGACGCTGACTGATTCTTTGATGACAGGAGATATTCCGTCTTGTCCTCGTTCACTATCGGACCCATTGTCTCCGCTTCTTTGACTAGTCTATTGAAGACCTAACGAGTATATATATATGAATATGTATATGTATTCTAAATTGATTAAATTCAACGAAAATGTACCTTATCTTCCTGCAATTCTACTAAAAAAAATTCACATTGACATAACACTGTGCAAGGCTTAAGAACGGATGAGGACGAAGCTGTAAGTTATGTGCAGGTAATTTTACACACTTTGCATTTTCCTTTCAAAATTCGGGAAGAAAGCTTACACAGACTGAAAACAAGTTTGAATAATTGATAAACATTAAAAGACAATTTAAATTAATTTACCGCAACAGAGCTTCCAACTTAAATGTTTGTTAAAATGGTGCGGGCTCGCTTAAAGAACTTGAAATCGCTTTAAGCGCCTTTGTCCAATTTCCCTTCACTTCATATACATATACATTTGTCTGTTTGCCATCTCCTTTTGATTTTGATTAACGTTTGTCAGTTGAAGTGGCTGCCAAATAAAATTTGTGTTTTAATGCGAGCTGAGTCTGGAAAACTAAAGAAGAAATGAAGAAAAATATAAAATTGAATATGCATATTAATACATTCAAGCGTGAACACTTGCTTAATTATTTCGTAATAATAATATAATATTATATTTTTTATGATCACACCGGCATTTTTAATTCGTTAATACAATAGTTATTCGGTAAAATTGTATCTGTATTTGTTTTTGTCAAATTAAGAGATAATCGTTTTACCGAGTGAAAAAGTACCAGCCCGGCAAACTTAATAATTTTTTCGTTACTTGGTAATATATAAATCAGCTTTTTTTGCTTCGTTGCCTAAAAAGCTTAGCAGTTTTATTGAGAAATTCAATTAAACTTTTGATGAATATGCGAAAAAAATTTTTTTAAAAATTGATTCAAGATTTTCAAAAAAAAAAAAAAATCTCACTACAAAAATAGATCAAAAATAAGCTGTACCGTCTTCTCCTGCTGTTCGTCGATTGGTGGAGGCACCAAGTGAAGCCAGGTCCTTCTCCGCGTGAAAGAAAGTGGGAACTTCATCTTCGTTTTTATCTACTTCCACCGGCGGGTACTGTGTCGAATGCTCTCAAAGTTGGAGTGATTTTATTAATGCGAACGACAATTTTCCAAACTTTCCAAAGTAGCACCTGTTGTCAAGGGTAATTCTGCGTTGGATTTACAGTCTAACATTGTTATTGGTATTTATGGTGGTTCCTGGATAGACGAAATCGTCTACAACCTCTAAGATATAACTCTCAATGGTTACATGGGACCCAAGACGTCAATGCGCTAAATATTTCATCGGATACACTATCACACCCATTCCCATTGTTCCCCAATCCAGTCTGGGGAAAGCAATACTTCATTGTTTAAGCTAATGGTATCAATACCATCGGCATCCAGCATTCTCCAGCATTAACATGAAAACGCCACATGATAAGGAGTTACTGTCAGAAGCGTCCTTTTGTGCCGCATGGAACCCAATTATGACCAAGCTCTTGGTATTATTCATCGTCATTTTACGCAGCCATTCTAGGAAACTCCAATTAGCTTCGAAGAGGTGGTGTATCGAACTTCTGATGATTATCTGATCAATTTTATATCTGCAAGGACTGAAGCCAAACTGGCAAGATCCAATCAGTTTGCTGGTAGGCTTCAGTATTTTATACAGTACGATCGTAAGATATTGAGGAGGCTTATCCTTTGCACTTAGTCTCAATAGTCAGTCATGCTGTCGTAAGACCATAGTCCACAAAGAAGTTGATGTATGCACCTTTCTAGTTTTTTGCCGCCATTATTCAACACCTCAGCCTGTATTCTTTGATATTATTTAAGCTGGATATAGCTTTTCGAACATCAATATATACTGTTGAGGAGACGTGTATATCATCGCGATCGGTTGGAGTAGACTTCAGAAGTGCTCCGGAGAAACTCGAACCAACTGATGTTATGGAAAATCTATAGCTTGCTGCCGTAATTATAGAGCTTAACCCCACCCGAAAGAGCAGGAACGCAAGTCGTGTAGAAAACTATTTGGCTATCTGTTGTGATTGCAGCTTTTCGTCGTCGAACCTTCCCTGTGTTTTTTTTTTCGAGATGAGGTTAAGATCCCGGAGAGTATGCACATTTAAATCACTGGCGACTTGCCTTCCCTCTATCACAGCGCGGTCAATCTGGTTCCGAGTCTTTCGATGTGACGAAGACAAATAAATGGATTTTTTGTATGTCCTGACATTAAAAGGCATGATTTTGATGCCATAACGGAGCAGCACTCGTTTGTCAACGAACGTGAATAAATCGAAGGCTGAATCTCTCTCCAACCACAAATTCCACACCAAATTTGCGCTTCTTTGTAAGACCGCTGTAGTTAATTGCATAACCACTCCCTTTCTTGCCTTGTCCCGTTCATCGAAATTCCTAGATGGCGGTGATGTCACCCTTACTTCTAATAAGGACCTCATCGTTCTGGGTAACGGCATTTTCATAATTAGAGAACCGGAAATTCAAGTGCATGCCATTGCACCAAAGTCCTCAAAACGTGTGCAACGGAGAAGTTATCAGAAGTGGAGTCTCTTATCCTAGGCTGTAGTCACTTTTTTTGTTGCAAATATGGACATAGCGGGCTCGAACCCAGATGCTGCAAATTTAATTCGGCGAACACTTAAGCAGAATATCTTACAAAGATTTCCTGATATTTTTTTTTTAGCCAAAACCCAAGGCTATATACGGGTTGGTTACCGCATCTTGCACATAGGATTTCCTCGTTTCCAGACTGCGTGATGTTAACATAGAAATATGAAGTGAGTATTGCCCTGAGACTGTAACTGCATATCCAGGAGTATAACTTTTATTTATTATTATTATTATTACATATTATTAATATTTATTGCAGAAGTTTTTTTCTATAACTTCTTAGAGCATTAATTTATTTCAAAATTAAACTATATGGTATAAAAATATATTTCACTCACTCACTATTGATTTGATAAAAAAAAATCACAATTAAAATGTTCTGAATGCTTTTAAGTCACACAAGTGTATTTTTAGTTTAAACATTTTTTAAATTACAAAACTTTATATTATTCTTAAATAAAAATTTCTATAGCTAGCAACTCTAACTTTTGGTTTCACGGTCTTATACGAACGGCATGAGGAAATAATGTTGAAAATGTTAAAAATGATCAAAACCCAAAGCGTACTCGCATTATTGTAATATATTTAATAGAAAAACTCGATTTTCGTATATTTTCTTTATCTGCTGAAAAGCTTTTGCCAAATGGCTGATCCCTATCTTGTAAAAAAATAGTGTTTAAAAATTCGAAGCGGTAAAAAAGTGTGCAGTGGGAAATTGTGGGCTTGAAAAAAGAATTGTTTGTAATTTATATAAAATTTTTGTGAGAAATTAAGACAAACGTTATGTCATGAATTCAATGGTACTATTTTTTGGGCTGAAGTCTTGAATTCATCGAATAGGAAACATTATAATATATCTGCAAGAATGATGTATTGATTTGATAAAAAAATGGTACTTACCTATTAAAGTGTGTAAAGTTCTCATTTACATTTGGTGGTATTCGGCCACCTCGACCGTGGCTTGATCAAAACCCTGCATAGAAGCTGTAATTTTTTTCTAATTTTTGCGAAATTTTTTAATAAACAAAAATGGCCAAATATTCGACTGGTTGGGTGGTAGCATGTAAGATCAAAAACAAAATTTTTATAAAATGTATTTTCTTCTGTATATGAAATGTTTCCCATACTTATATACATACCAATTTTTGAAAAAAAAAAATTATTTTTTTTATTATAGTAAACTTGTAATATCAAATACCGCCCACCGTATATATGACGAAGTTGGTTCGGTGACGTCAGCGGTTGTCGTTACCTTGTATTCCAAAAACCTTGGAGTGAAACTACCTTCCTTTTTCTTATCTTGCTTTATAAAATAAATTTGTGATGTAAATATTTTAGTGCAAAAAAAAAACAAAGGTCGCTAAATTTCTTTATATCAAACTTTTTAATTTGCTCATCAAAATTATAATAGTTTTTTAAAAACTTATTATTAATACAATTTGATTCAGAAGGACTGATTGAATCTTTTAAATGAATATTGCGCTTCAAGGTAGCTTCTAATTTGCATTAATGCAATGCAATGTATTCATGTTGTGGTTGTGGTTGTAATTCAAATTATATAATTAATTTTAAAATTTACTGCACTAATTTGCCAAAATTATTTATATTATTTTCTTTAAATTTTATTAAAAGACAAGAAGATCCTATAAATTTTTATATTTAGTTTTTTTCAAATTATTATAACATATGTGATCGAAATTCAATATAGCTCTTCATAAATAAATAAATAAATCAACTGTATTATCTTATGCATTCCTAAATAAATTTGTTTCTGAGGAAGCCATTTCCACGAATTCCTTCTGCACTAGAATAGAACCGAGGCTTACAGTGCCTTGATCAAAGCCTTATACCAAGGTTCGTGTCCAAACTGGTTCAAATATTTTATATAAAAATATACATCGCCGTTGGTACTGAAATACTTCGATTTGCTTTAGGGTAGCTAACCTCATATGCATACATATACCCGTACTCAGCTTAAATTTGAGTTCGAAGAAGTCTGTAATTCATGCAGTGTTCGTCTGAAGCTTTTGCAAAAATGAGTACAGCATACAATCGCCAGCATCCGAGCATTTTTCTCGCTTCAACAATACAACGCGCATGTCCTGCGAACGGTGAATTTATTCGATGATTAGTATTTTTGTGGGTGGTTTGTAATATTACATATACATATATATATATATATATATATATTCTTATTATATATTATATACATAGACTGATGTATACATACCATACATATGTTTAGAAAAAAACTGCTAAAGACCTAAATATATATTTCACTTCTCCTACAGATCTCAATACTCGTTAGGGTTTGAAACGTTGCTTTAATATGGAGTTTAAAGCATTAAGTTCTCATTTTAAATTCAAAATACAGATGTACAGAGCTGTTTTAAGACCAAAAGCATTTGCTATTGCGACATGTGCATATGTACATAATTTTGATTTCAACTTGTTGTTATAATGAGCTACTTAAATATGCCTATAGTATTTTCATTACAAAAACATCAGTTGACCACCTGGCGTCTGAAGGGCTTAGATTGATTTTTGTTCATTATGTGTTTTTAAAGTGAAAATAATGCAGAAGAAAGCAATTTATTGCAAGAAAATCACTAGCAATAAAATGAATTCCCCAAGGACGAGATACCTTGCACCTATTTAAATTCCCCTGCCTAACTCGCTGCATGTACACGTTCATACGTGTATGTAAGTATGCATGTACATACATAAGTAGTTTTTGGTATATTTTCAACTGGCAGCAAATCATCAATGCCAAGTCAAAGTTTTGTCAATCATTTAGCCACGCCATGTCT